TTCAACTGAAAACAATGAAATTTTATGCGCACCTCATGAGGCTGAGCGGCATAAAAGAGAGAAAACTGATGATAGAAGAACTAAATGAGGGAAATGTATTCCTTAGAAAGGCATGAATAACCAATCATCATCGCGTACGACTAGATAAAATCCTCATGAAAAATTTGTATTTGTTAGTACTCAGAATTTCTTTGATGGCATGCATACTGTATGTCCCTAACCCTTCTGCGGTTGTATTTTCTTGATATTTTAAGGATCGTATATAGAAATTTTCTATCCGTAGRTGCAACTGGTGTTCTACTGTCCGTCTTGTGATCTAAGAATCGCCGAGTACTAGAAGAGGCGTTTATTTTAGCAGGTAATTTTACGATACTGATTTTTCACTTTTCTATGAACGCCTAATATTAGCGACGGCGATGGTTTTAAAGTGATGGCTTGCTAARCACAGGCTAAAAAGAAAAAGAAATGAAGGTTTGTCATTCAAATGCATATCTGTTACGTCAGATTGTCAGACTAAMTGTTAGAAAACTACAAGGTTACCGAAATGGTCACAAGATAGTCAGAGACAATGTCTGTTTTTAGCAGGTCTTGAATAGACTTTGTACATGTTTACGCCGCGGAAAAACAGTTGTCAACTTCCAAAGTAAACACTTCCTTTTGGTTTGACGTTTAATAACCGGACTTGAGAAACTAAACCTAAAGCTGAGACGTCAAGGCAACATTGGGGAARTGAAGCGTGAAGGGTTTATAGCATCATTTCGGTCAGCGGAATGGAATTATCGTTTTTTTTTTTTCACTTTCTTTGATTTTAATACAACAAAATTTCTTCAAAAGGTCATATTCATAGTTGCGAAATATTGAAATGCCTTGAAGCAAGACATTGCCTTTTATATTTATCGTTGCACTTGTTGTTCAACTTGCTTCGATGGGTTTGGAACTATATGGCACGCACGAGAGAAGACGCGGAGAGGTAGCCGCGCGCGAGGACGACAGCGGATTTTTTTT